ATTCGTGGTGGAATAGGTCGTCTGGGGGATCCCACGATGCGGGAAATCGAACTCACTCTGGATGGAGGAGCAGAGGTTAGCTTGATTTCCGAACAGATTGCGGACGAGTTCGCCGGCGTGATAGAGCCCTCCACTCAGGACGTGTATGGAGTGGGCGGCGAACGACAGCTGGATCGGAAGCTCTATCTGCTGGTGGATATAGGCGGCAGACAAGAGCCGGTGACTTTCCACGTGCTGCCAGGATTGAACAGGGTTCTGGTGGGGTACGAAGACCAAATCAGACTTGATCTGGATATAAGCTTGCCACGGCGGACGGTGAAGGCGATTGGAGGGCGCGAGGTACCCCTTTTGGAGGTTATCACGTGGACCTCCGCGACAATGCAGCCTGGTATCCACACGAGGTGACACGACTTCAGGAGGCTCTGAACCAAAACTGCTCGTATAGGGTCGCGGATGTGCAGCCGGTGCACCTCGAATTATCGCGCGAAGTACCGCGGCAGCCCATACGGCCATTAAATGAACGACTGGTTCAGGTGGCGAAGGAGGTCATTCCGCCGTTGCTAAAACAAAGGCTTATTGAACCCGCGGCAAAGGGAACTATAATCTCACCGGCCCACTTCGTGACTAAAAGGGACGGGACGTGGCGATTAGTCATCGACTACCGGTTAGTCAATGCAGCCACGGTGTCGGCCCACCATCCTCTGCCGAACATCGAACAAATCCTGCACTCGCTGAGGGAATGCAAGTGGTTCTCGAAACTGGACTTGAAGAATGGGTTCTGGAATGTCCCTCTCGACGAATCCTCCAAGAACTTAACAGGATTCTCAGTGGGCAGACTAGGATGTTACAGGTGGAACGTGTTACCACAAGGGCACAAATGCGCCCCCGCTGAATTTCAGCAGAGAGTGGAGGATGTGTTGAGGAATCTAATGGACGCAGAAGTGGTTCGTGTATACGTTGACGACATCATAATTGGGACAAAAACAAGGGATGCCCACCTTGGCCTGGTCTTGCGAGTTCTGGAAAGGCTGCGAGAAGTCGGACTGAGGATTAGCAGGGAAAAATGTGAGTTCCTAAAGACGGAGCTTTCCTTCCTCGGGGTGATCGTCACACACAACACTCTCACTCCAGACCCCAAACGTGTGTCGGCCCTGAGCAATGCCCCCA